ACCCTCCCTGTATCACCACTTACACCACTGGTCCTGAAGGGATCATCCGCCCTGTATTCCCTGTGTTTCCAGTTCCTATCTGTACCAGTGTACATCCTCTGGTCTAGCCAGACTTGCAAGGTAGAATCCAGACTGTGATAGTGGGGGCGGGGAGGAAAAATATAGGAACTAGAGGAAAGTTGTATTTTTCATCGTTGCTACATTGCACCCTGCCTGGCTCGTCTCCTCCCCGAGACCCCTCTGGAAAGGCAGAGCTTTTTACACCTGATGTAAAGAGTTATAGTTTTGGAAACCCACAAGGGCAGTTCTACCCTATAGGATTGCTATGAGTTGGTCTAGACGCAATAGGAGTGAGTTTGGAGTTTCCAAAACTGTATATCTTTTTATTTTTAAGAAAATTTTTGTGGTTTTCTTGTATAAGGAGGCATTGAAACATCTGAACGAATCAATATCTGGGTGGTGAGGCAGCTGCTTTCTCCTTCACTTCTTTGGGTAACTGAGCAATTTGTGAGTAGATTTTTTTTTAAAGGCAAAAAAAAGGGACAACCTTTTGCATCACTTAAGTCTTTCCAAGGCATGGGCTGGTACAACACAAACTTCTGTCAGATGCGACTATCTAGTAGTGTCCAAACATCATGCACAGCATACTGGTGGCAGCAGCGCAGTGTGCCCCGCCCACTGTGGCCTGGCTGGTGGATGATGTTTGGAGCATCTGGAGGAGGAGGAGGAGGAAGCAGGAAACAGTGTGAGTGCCTGGGTGGGACGAGGTCAGCCCAAGTGGTGCAGAGTAAGATCTGACCATGTCACTTGTGCAAACCCAGGCATCGTTGATATTTGTTAGTAGGAAACAACTGGTGAAAGCCCATGATGGGGTCTTTATCAGCCTTCAGCTGGCCCTCACCCATGCTGAGGAGGCAGCCATCTGGCGTGGGCTGATGGTCCTGCGACGTGATGCTGTGCTGGATTTTCTGGAATGGAAGGCTAGACAACTTCTGCACAATGGATGCTTTCTCCTGCAACTTCTGTCCTTCCCATGTAAGGCATGACATGTCAATCAGCAGGGCAGCAGGCCAGCCACATATTTCTGAGTCTCAGGATCATAAATTGCACCCAGTTGGGTTCTGTCGTTATTAAATAACTGGTAGTAATGCTGAATGAAGCTGGATCCAATCTGTTCCCAAATCGGCTTGTCTCCCAATGTGGGGCATTGCCCAACCTCGTAGAGACCCAAGGGGGTGGTATGATGGCAGCAGTGGCGGCGGCAACCAGCGCTGTCTGCCCCACAGCTGTATATCTTTATACAAGCAGATCGCCACAGTTTTTCATGGAGCAGTTGATGGGTTCAAACCACTAATCCTTTGGTTAGCAGCTGATTGCGTAACCATTGTGCTGCCAGTGCGCATTCCTACTGACTAATCATTTTTCCAAGTATGTTTGCATCTTTTAGAGCTCTTTTGCACTTGAAATGGGCTAGTTCAAATTAAGATGCATTAATGATTCTACAAGGAACCCTGGTGATGCAGTATATTCTAAATTGGGC